ATTGAACCGCGGTCCCTGTGCTTTGCTAAGCTTGTTCTAAGTAGGTGCTTTAGACCACTGAGCCATCTCACCAGCCCCTATTTTTTATTCTTTTGATACAGGGTCTCGCTATGCAGTTCAGACGCATAATGATCCTCCTGCCTCAGCCTCCCCAGCACTGGGGTTACAGGGGTTGGTCACCACACCCACTTCCAGGACATGGCATGCAGTACTGAGGGGCGAACTTGTGATCTTGTGCTCACCGGGCAGGTGCTTATGCCACCAAGCTATCTCCCTAGCCTTGTCTGTCCACCTTACCTCATAGTCATGTAAGCTTTTCTTTTTTCTAAATTAGTACCAGAGAGGAAAGGCAATACAGGAAGTGGGGACAAACTGAAAATGTCTATACAGTACAAGAAAAACCCCAGCAAACACAGTTGGGAATGTGACAGTGATGGGAGGCTTGCCTAGCACGCTCAAGGAGAGGACTTGGGTTCAATCTTCAGCATAGCAAACAAAAACAAAAACAAAAAAATCCAGCACGTAGGTAGCTTTCTAATTCCTGTTCCGTCGCCAACTTGCTGAATAAGTTTCTGAAAGTTACATCACTTCTTCAGGTTTCAGTTTCCTCTTCTATAAATTAAGCAGTTTGAGTGATACCTCTTAATTCTGCCGGTACTGAGAGAACGATTGAGAGTGGCAAATCCCAGGGCTTGGAAGGCTGAAAACAGGAGGATCACTATGAGTCCAATCGACTAAATCCAGAGAGATTTAGTCCCTGGAGACCATGTAGTAAATACATTTTTTTTTTTTTGGTGGAACCTGGGATTGAACTCAGGCCCTTGCGCTTGCCAGAGAAGCGCTTATTCCACTGAGCCATCTCCCCAGCCCCTTGAGCCATCTCCCTGGCCCCTTTAAATACATTAAAAAAAAAAAAAGATAAACCATTTGCACTAATTATACTTAAATAAAAGAATGTACATCCATACCTGGTTTACCCTAGGGTGGGATTTAGTTTCTTTTTAATTATTAGCAAAACTCAGGGCTGGGGAGATAGCTCAGTAGAATAAGCGCTTGCCTGGCAAGCGCAAGGTCTGAGTTCAATCCCCAGTTCTGAAAAACAAACAAACAAAAAAAAAGAGCAGTGCTTTAGGGGCCAGGGAGATGGCTCAATAGAATAAGTGCACTTCCCTGGCAAGCGCAAGGGCCTGAGTTCAATCCCTGGTTCTGCAAAAAAAAAAAAAAAAAAAAAATTAGCAAAACTGCTGTAGGATGACTGTCCCTCCCCCTTAGAGGCAGAAAAATTACACACAGCTGTGAATTTCCCAGAAAAACTGTGAAACACAAGATTGAGTGAACCCAGGCCTGGCTGCCCGCACTGGGTTCAGGAGCCCATTCTGCCTTCAGGTCATTTGCATTGTTAACAAAGGAGAACAAGGCTGGGCAAGGCGGTAAAGGATTGGCCTGTCACTCCTGCTAACTGGCAGACTGAGGTAGAAGGACTGAAAGTTCAAAGTTTGGGCAATTTAGGAGATGTACATATGGCAGAGGTAGAGCAAGCAGGGTTTGATTCCCAGTAAGGAGCATGGGTTGGGAGAGGACAAGAAAGTATCTTTTCTGGTTGCACCCCAGATCATTTGACAGGCTCCTGTGTAGGTGCAAGTAGTATCCTATTCTTTAACTTTTCACATTCTGAGGACAGACCAAAAGCTCATGTCTCGCTCTCCCAGTGGGACATGAATGAAATGCTTCTCTACCCCAATCTTTGAGCAGAAGACAGAAGTTAAAGCTTGTTAAATTATTATATGAGGGGTTGATGATGTAGCTCAGCAGTACAGCATGTGCTTAGCATGTGGGAAGCCCTGGCTAATCCCTGATCTTCCCGGCACTCCCCCCGCCACCATGTGTCCCCCACACCCTACCCCCACCATATCATAAAAGAAATTGAGCACCAAAAGTGGGGCCAAAGATGCTTCTTCCATAGCTACTTCTTCAAATTGTTCAATTTGTCCTTTTTTTTCCCCCCTGCACTCTTAATATTGAAACAAGACCTTTGGGGCCAAGGAGATAGCTCAGCAGACTAAGAGCCTTCTTAGGCAAGCACAGGGAGCAGGTTTGATCCCCAGCACCACAGGCTGTGCCAGCCCCACCCTTGGATGACCTGAGCTACACCAAGTCCCGGCGCTGGGGAGGCTGAAAAATGAAAGGATCACTACAGGTCTGAGCTCTATAATGAGACCCTGAACCAAATACACTAAACTGGGACCAGGGAGATAGCTCATTAGAATAAGCGCTTCCCTGGCAAGTGCAAGGACCTGAGTTCAATCCCTGGTTCTGAAAAAAAAAAGAAAGAAAGAAAGAAAAAAAAGAAATACACTAAACAACAACAACACAAGACCTTTGGTGTGGTAAGTAAACACTGATATGTTTGTACTTAAGAATAATAATTCTCTTGGTTGAAATCTATATTTATCTGGTTCTGCTTTGCTTTTTTTTTTTTTTTTTTTTTTTTTTTTGTGGAACCTGGGATTGAACTCAGGCCCTTGCACTTGCCAGGGAAGCACTTATTCCACTGAGCCATCTCCCCAGCCCTGTTCTGCTTTTTAATAATTGAAAACATTCAATGAATAAGAGTCATAACTATGGGATTGAACTCAAGAACTCAAACTTGCCAGGGAAGTGCTTATTCTACTGAGCCATCTCCCCAGCCCCTTTTCTGAGCTTTGTTTGGCTGGTCTTAACCTTAAACCTGGCTTGGTATTGTATACATTTTAGGCATCTAAAGAACTGATCACAAACTGTCCAAGACATTTATTTAGGCAAAGCTGGGTGTGGCGATGCACAGCTGTAATCCTAGCACTTGGGAGGCTGAGGCAGGAGGATCATTGAAAGTTTGAGGCCAGTCTGGGCTACATAGTGAGTTCAGGGCCAGCCTGAATACACAGCAAGACTCTGTCACAAAACAAAATAAAACAAAACACATTTATTTAGCCAAAGTTTAAATAAATAGCATGTTTCCACATTTGTCATGTTTCTTGTCAGAAGTAATGCCTGCCAGGGCTTTAGGGAATTAGGAAGCTACCTACATGCTATTAAGCACAAGAACACATAGTTAACTTTTACTTTTTTTTTTTTCCTGTACTGGGGATCGAACTCAGGACCTTGCACCTGCCAGGCAGGAACTTATGCTGCTGAGCTTTCTCCCTGGCCCAACTTTTATTCTTTATGGACATTCCCTACTGTACTTATTTCATTGAGTTGAATTCTGTAATTTAAGATATAGTTGGCAAGTAGGTTTAAGTACTGTATATTGAAATCACAAAACATTTTGTGGCAGCCAAAAGATACAAAATGCCATTTTTAAGGTCACTTATTGACATTTGTTTCTTTGTATCTCGTACACCTTTCTGCCTCACCAAACAAAAGAACTACGTGTTGGTTTAAAAAGTGTAGGTAGGACATATAAGAACTTGACAACATAACATGATTTACTGAATTGTCAGATTATATTTAACAATCAGAATGTGATGAAAAGTAAATAATCCAAGAAACACTCAATTCAATTCAATGAAGTATCCTCTTCTCCTTCGCAGTAGCTTGATACTAATAAATTTAAGCTCCTGCCCACCCAGACTTTCTTAAATCCTGATAGGAACCAATGCAATTCATTTGCATTGACTTTCTATTGTAGAGCTTTGGAACCAAGGGAAGGATCCAAACATAGCTCCATTTTATCCAATCAGAAGAGTCGCTTAGTGCTAAACTCTGATTCGCCCATTCCTCTTTGCATCCATCCAATCACGAGGCAACTTTAACAGCCAATCAGCGGCCTAAACATTCGCCAATCAGGGAACGGGGCCGAAGCACGGCCTTTGTGTCGGGGGATGTCAGCGCGTCGGCGAAAACTCAACCAATAGAAAATGTCGTTGGTGTATGCAAATAAGTGTCCTATGACGCAGATACGCAGCGTGAAGCGTGTGTATAAAAACGGAGGCGTCGGGGGGTTTGGATTGCAGAGCGGTTTGGTCGTTCGTTGAGGGTTTGTCGTTTTTGTTTTCGTCAACTGCGGCTGTTGCCTGAAGGCCAGCGCGGCGGTCTGAAAAGCGACTTAAGACTTCTGCGTTGGGTGAGTGTTCGCGGTTTCCCACATGACTTGGATCCCTTCGGCCGTTGATATTTTGGACTGGGGCCGTTGGAAGTCATTTGCTGGGTTGGGGGGGGGGAGTCTTGGGGCGGCTCGCTTGGGTGAGGTCTGAAGCTTCTCCCTTGGGCTCGGTTCCGGAACTGCGTCTCCAGCTTCCCGGTGGTGATTCAGAGGTCCCGACGCCAGGTTCCGGGCAGCCGGGCCTCCGCCCGTCGGGAGAGGGAAGTGACTCCTCCC